GCCTGGCAGCTGCCCGCCCCTTCCCACCCCCTCACCCCAGACGCTGTGCTTGTGGATGGACCAGCCGTACCAGCCCTGGAGGGTCTGGCCTGACCCGGACAGACTCTTCCTCTTCCCCCCAGGGAAGGTGGAGAGCAGGCGGTGGGGACAGGCCGCCCAAGAGCAAGGCCTCACAGTGGTGGTGGTAGCTATGGGGGAGGCAAAGGCCAAGCCAAATGCACGAGGATGGGGCATACGGAGGGGGACCGTAAAGGGGGCAGGAAGGAATTTGACCCCTGGAGGGGCAGGGAGGATAAGGAGTGGGAGAAGGGGGAGAAGGAGAAGCCAGGCAGAAGATGCCCTCTCTCCAGGCAGGTTGGGGCAGCCCTGCAGAGAGCTGCCCTAGCAGGATGGCCGGGGACAGGAACGGAGACACCTCCCCAGGGCGCGTGGGGGGACAGTCAAGGGGAGGCAGACCGAGAACGCCCCTCACAGTACAAGGCCAAAGCGGCTGAGGGACAGGGTTGGGAATGCGTGCGTGTGTAGGGGGGACGCAACAGATGCTCCCCTCTGCCCTTCTCCAGGGAAGGACCCAAAAACACCTGTTCAGACAGGGTGGGCAGGGCATGGCTGAGGTGGGGCAGGATCCACCAGCCCTACAGGAAACCCCATAGCCTGGTCGGGGGTGGCACAAAATATCTGTCCCACACCAAGCCACCCTGAGGAGGTTTCCTCCTGCTCAGATAGTGGGACAGCAGCAGGCTGGCTCCAACAAGAGGACACAGCTCCACGAGGCTCTTCTTGACTGCATCTTGTGCGGAAGGAGGTCGTGACAGTGGAAGGGATGTTCTCCAGGCTCCTGGAGGCTGTGTGTCCTTCCTGACGCAGCTGAGCTTTCCAGTCAGCAACAAGCATGGTAAATGTGCTTTTGGGGCCCTGGGTCCAGCTCCTACCCAGATGGCAGCTGCCCACCCTGTAGCACTTAGCTCTGCCCTACAGAGAAGGGTCACAGCTCATCATGAAGTCTGCCCAGATTTTTGTCTCCAGGCACTGCTGACTTACTCCCTTACTTTCTCTCAGGGAACCTTCACCCCTGCACTCAATCCTTGTTCTTCCCTTTGTCCCTTTATCATCCCATTCTTTCCACTGTAGCCATCTCTTCCCCAGGTCTTTCCAGCCTATTTCTCTTCTACACCTTCTCCATCTCCCTCTATCTGCTACCTTCTTGCCTCACCACTCCTTAGTCCTACCATACCAATTCACCCCTACTGTGTCTGCCCCTCGTCTTTCTCATCTCCTTTTCTACCTTCCTCCTGCATCTTCCCCTCATTCCTTCAAGCCTGCCAGGCAGAGCCTCCTCCAGCCAAGAAGGCTGATTAGCATTGCAAACACACAGAGGCCTCCTCAGCCCGACATAATTCTTCATTTGTCAGTCATGAATATTTCACACCTGCCTCAAGAGGGATTTATTCAGCATAGAAGAGTGGGGAGGGGGAGAAGGGAACATGGTACTGCAGCATAAACTGGGGCAGCACCAGCAGATATAGGAAAGAGCTCTGCCCCACAGGAACAGCATGCCTAGCTAGAGTCTCACCTTCACTCTCCTGAGTGCAGGGTCCCAGCCCAGGCTTCTCCCCAAGGCTGTTCTTGGGGCTAGAGGGCAGGTCTGCACCCAACCTCATTCCTCACCCTCCACAATTTTCAGTGAGGTGAACTAAAGCCCTGTTTTCTCTGCCAAGAGTCACCAAGCCAGAAATAAAGTGTGAAAGGGTTTGGTCTTGGTTTGGCCCCAGAAGTCCACTTTCCCCTGGGAGAAGGCAGCATTGAGGGACTTGCCAAAGCCAAGCCTTAAAGGCCTTAGACACTTCAAGGCAGTCCCTCCATACTTTTTCCCAAAAAAGAGATTTTTGAGGCCCTGCCCTCTGTCAGGCCAGCCAGGGTGGAGAATGCATAGGATAGACCTAATCCAGAGGTCTATGCAATCAATAAGATGAAGGTGGTGGGAGATCTTCTAAGTGACTGTAATCAGCTGCACATCAAGTTTTCGCTGTATCAGAGGTTTCCCCTCAGCTAAAGCACTTCACATTCCCTCAAGCATAACCTTGCTTTTTGGGAAAGAGCAACCAGGGCAAAGGGGCATTTCTCTTACAAGATCTATCTTGACAAGCCTCACTCCTGTTCCTCAATAACAAGGAAAAATGATGGCCACTAGAAAGAGCAGGCCTTTGGTATATAACACATACCCCTTTATACACATGACTGTGAAAAGCAGCTGAGAGACCACAATTGGAGAAAAGGAAAGGGGGACACTGGAAAGAAGAAGGAATGAGGTTTATGGGGTGATTGGTTTGGGTTCTCCTTGGGATATGTTCCCTCTCAGACTGGTAGGAGTCTCTCATAAAAATCACATTAGGAATCAATGAAAGGAGCAGAGAAAACAGGGACAAGGACAGGAGAGACTTGGAGGGAGGAGGTTAAATTCCAACAAACTGGCACATACACAACAGGTGTTTGCTCAGAAAAATACAGTAAAATTGTCATGCAAATAGAACGTTAAATCTGCTTTCCTCCGACAGGGCTGGCATCACTTTGTGAGCCCTCATCCTGAGGGAGGGAGCAGGACAAAGAAGAAGGGAGGAGGAAGGAAGGTGAGATACTTTGTTCCCCTTCCTTGCCCTCTTCCTCCCACAGAACAGTCCATCATGTGCAAACTTCATCCAATGGTTTGAAATGGGGGGCAACAGCTGGGAGAGAAATGGCTTTTCCCTTCTTTCCAGCCTTACCCCCAACCAGAGAAAAAAGAAGGGCCTGATGATAGCTGTAACCCTGACCTTTCTTTTCTGCCTCATGAGGTGTTGACGGGAAAAAGCAGAAACCTTTACAGGTTAAAGCTCCCCCTTAAAGTATTGACTGAGCAGAACTGTTTACAAGACCACACGGCAGAGAAGCACAGGGAGGGAAGAGTTGGGGAGAGGAACAAGACTCCATCCCCCCTAGCCCATCATCCCCATTTTTCTGTCCAATTCTGTGCCCCAGCCATTAGTCTTTTCTGCTTGGATGGTTGCCGTGCTGGAAGACCACTGAGCCTGCTCTGTGTGGTAGCTGGGGAGGTCTTTGTTGTGCCTAAGCGTCTCTCACAGCATTTACCTGTCTTGGTTTGCTGCATAGTCCCAACATAGAGGGACACCTGCCAGCAGTGATGTGACTTCCCTTTGTGACTTCCCTTCATCCTCCTGCGCACAGATGCACACAGACATGTGCACAAACAACACTTCCTCTGGGTTGGATTGGCTCTTACCATGTGGAGTCAGTCCCACAAACACCTCTGGACTCAAGGCAAAATAATGCTTTGACCGTGGGAAAGCAGGCTGACAGTAAAAAATCTGAGGCAATGGGGTCAGAACTTGGCTTAGAATTGTTACCATCAGCATCTCTACAAGGAAGAAACTCCCCATCCTGGAGTAAACCTATGAAGATCTTCATAGGTTTACACTTTGGGGATACCTGCTCTGGTTTTCATGCACCAGACTCTGCCTACTGCTCCACCTCACTTAGAGATGGTGAAATTGTCATGTGTGACATAGAAGCCAGCTCTCACACCTGGCATTGCTACTACCTTGCAGATAACAGGCAAATTCTATGCATGCAGCATGTAAATCTCTCCTAGAGAAGCTCCTACACCCTCATCCTTCTCCCAGGGCTCCCAAAAACACTGGGTCTTCTGAGGAGTACCTCAAAGAGGATATAACTACTTAGGGAGGGCAAACATAACACAGGCCCTCACCCTCATCCTGACAGAGGTGAACTATGGTCAAGTGTTGGGCAGATCATGGGGAGGAAGCTCACGGTGCTGCATAAAGACATGTTCAGCAGGTAGCACTCCTGCCTGACAGAAAAATACTGGGGTAGATGGTGCCGAGATTGTGCTCACTGGGTTGCTCAAAAACGGGAATTTTTGAGGTGGAGAGGGCAGTAGGCTCATTGCCAACTCTGTGACAGATCTTCTATGCACGAGGCAGAGGTTGGGATCTAGCAAGTGCAACTGGGATTTTGTCGAGACATGACAGGATACCTATGAAAAGTTTGTCACACCTCTGAGGATTTAGGAGATGACATGTTGTTCCCACTCTCATGAGGGTGTAAAAGTAGTAGAAGAAACACTTCCATCAGGATGTTGGAGTCCTCTTCTATCCTGACATACACAGTGCAGCTGCACAAAGGGAGTTTCTTCCAAGCCATCCTTCTTGGGCTACTCCCAGGCCCCATTCTCACATCCCATTTGTTCCCTGTGCTCCTGTCTTCACCCTAGGCTGTCCCCTATGCATGCCAGAACGTCCATAGCCTATACAAGAGAAAGACTCTTTGTGAGGCCAGCCCAGTGAGATGAGCAACTAAAATCCTGCTCTTCACATTCACCTGGAAGTGAGGAGGTTGGATGATGCTCTTCCCATGGACCCCCACCCCACTGCCCATGGTGCAAATCAGTTGAGAAGAGCTTCAGAAGCTTCATGGAGAACTTGTTCTGCTGAGGTCCTCTCCAGGTCCCTTCCTCAAAGTAAGAGGGACATGAACAGAGAATTAAACAGACTACACAAGGGCAGCCTGAGCATAGGTGTGTGTGGGGAGAAGGACCTCTGACCTGTAACACTCGTGGATAGATGGGAGCCCCATACACCTCTGAGAGACCACACCTTCCTGCCTTTTCCTCCAACACTCCTTGAGGACCTGGCATGCCATGCCAAAGAGAACATTCACAACCTGTTTTTCCCCATCAACTGGCAGAAAACTGGCTCTGAGAAGGCCTGGAGAATGTCTGTCCCTCCAGATTGCTGGTGTTCATCAGCAGCAACATGGCAGGAGAAGGGAAGGAGGAAGAGCAGCAAGGGCACAGAGCCTGTTATACAGCAGGTCCTACCCGCCTTGGTCCTTCACATCTCTTCTCCTTCCTCTGAGGAGGACAGAGGTTTGTGAAGTATCTAGACAGGAAGTTCAAGCCTAGGGACCCTTAACAGAGAGTGATAGGGAAGGGCAAAGGAAAAGAAGGGAGAGAACTTCTTCCAGCAATTCCCACCTGTTTTGGAAGGGGACAGGAGAAAGAGAAAATCCTCCACTGCTAAAGAAAATGAGGGAAAAAGTTAGTGATGGAAGATTTGGCATAGCAAGTGTACAAGGTGGACAAGGAAGCTTTCTAAACCAAAGTCCTTCCCTCCCACCCAAAAGAAAAATCAGCCTTCAACAGGAACAGAAAGATGAATAGTTCACAGCTGAGTTTCACGCCCAGTGAGTGTCCATCTCTTCCCTTCTCCTACCACCACTGCCAACCACTCCCAGCCCATTCCCACCCACCCACACTCCAACATTGTTATCACAGTGTCAGAGCAGGGCGCTCCTCCCAACCATCTGTGGGCAGAACAATGGTCCCCGTAACACAGTAGAGACAATTCGGCGTGTGTGTGTGTGTGTGTGTGTGTCAGTGTGTGTGTCTGTGTGTGTAACAGTTGTTGTAAACTTTAAGAAAAGGTTTTGTCAGTTTTGTATTTGTCAGGAGTATTTTGTTGTTGTTTTATTTTTCACAGTCAAGTGGCTTTTTTTTCTGGTTGTTGGAGGCGGGGGGCGGGGGGGGGTCTTGGGTTGTATTGTTTCCTTGTGAGGAAGAGTCACAGCTTCTGCTGAGCAGAGACTCCTTTCCAGTAATCCAGGATGTCATGCAGATCCTCGTCCTTGGCAAATTGAACTTTCTTCCGCAGGGCATGCCCAGCTGCCATGTAAACCTCCTCCCTGTGATGCTTCTTGTAAGGCCGGAATCGCTCCCAGATCTTGTGGGTGCTCTCTGAGGAGTACTCGGGGCTGGAGGAGTAGCCCGAGAAGTAGTGTCTGGGGGAGAGCTGGGAGTACGTTGAGTCTCGCTTGGACCGGGACAGTGGCTTGAGGAATGACACCCGCTGGCTCAAGGTGTCAGCACTTTCCTCATAGTACAGGGCCGGGAAGGAGTGACGGTGCTCACTGCAATGGTAAGAAGGCTTGACCTCCAAGTGGTGGATGGCGCTCGGAGACACCAAGGGAAGACGATCCAAAGGGCTGTTTAGTGGACTGCCCTTCTCAATGTATTTGGAGTCAGACTTACTGAGTGGTGGGTGGTCAGGCACATCCAAGCTGAAGACCTTGGCGCTCTTGATGGAGCCACTAGAAGAGACACTGCAGGTCTTTCTGGCCACAGCAGCATCAGCACTGAGCTGGCGCTGCAAAGGGTGGTGGGAGCTTTCTTTGTAGGGTGGGGAAAGAAAGCTGGGCCTCTCTAGCCCACTTGAGGAACCAGCTGGGATGGACTGGCACTCAAAGGCCATATCTGAGTCAACACCAGTCCCACCACCCAGGAAAGATGCTGTATCCAGCTTGAGGGCATCAATACAGTTGTTGATGATCTGGTTGACCTTGTCTACTTCCTTGGCTATAGTAGAGATCTCAGCAGCTGAGCCTTGTCCATTGTCAAGCTCCCTCAGGTCCTCATCTCGCTGGGTTCTCTCCAGCCCATCCCCACCACCTGTCCGCACCTCAATGTAGTTACCTTTAGTGGTGACTTTGGGAGTCTCCATCCCAGCGTCCATTGACTTTGATGGGGGCAACTTCTCCCCAATCATGGAAGGGATGGAGGACATCCGTGAGACAGGAATGACAGGTGGCTCACCCAGCTTCTGGGAAGGATGGACCATGGTACTGGTATCAATATCTGATCCATAACGCATTTCTAGAATGGTCTTTTTGACATTGAGTGACTTCTGTTTCTCCTCCTGCATCCTCCGCTTCCGCAGGCAGTAGTACACCACCCCCAGGACAATGACCATTCCAAAAAGGCATCCCAGGGTGGTCATAATATAGTGTGTAGTGGTGGAAGTACTGGAAATAGGATCCTCCCTGCCTTTGCTCCGGGTTGCAAAGGTCAGGCAAGTATGGTTGTAACGCCTGTTGTTGCGGATAGAGGCCACACAGAATGTATAATCGGTGTGGGCCTTCAGCTTGTTGACAGTGACATATTCCTTCTTACTCTTCAGTGTTGCTATGTCAGAAACATAGCTGTTGTTGTATTGGACCAGCACATACATCTTACTGTAGGGCATGGGGATGGTGACCATCAGGATGGCTGAAGTGATTGTGACATCATGTAACTTGATGCTGGGACTGAAGGAGGAGTCAGTGGTGGAAGAGGCTGGAGGCTTGACTGAGAGAAAATCCCCAGGGCTGATGGCTGACCCCTCATCCAGATCTCGCTGGGAGTCAGGGGTGTAAGGGGTTGGGTTGACCCTGGAGAGGGAGGGGATGGTGCCCCCTCTGCACATGGACTGGAAGATGGTGATGGCATTGCGGTTGTGGTGAGGCCGGGGCACCAGAAGCGGATACCCAGCAAACTCCCGTGGAGTCTCACACTGGAGGCGGTCATAGTTCTTGGTGACGTTGTTGAAGAGGGCCAGCCAGTTAAGAAAGCCGTAGAGGCTACAGTCGCAGTTGAAGGGGTTGCCAGCCAGCTCACACACCATCAGGTTGCTCAAGCTGGTGAAAGTGTTGCCCTCCAGACGGCTGAGGCGGTTGGATGACAGGTCAATGCTAATCAAGCTGGGGCACTCAGAGAAGGCAGTAGGGGTGACCAGTTCAATTAGGTTATGTTGCACAAAGAGGAACTGGAGGCGGGCCATGCCCCGCAACATGCCCTCTGTCAGGTTGGTGAGTTTGTTGTAGCCCAGCTGTAGGACCTGGAGGTTTGACTGACCCATGAAAGCCCCATCCTCAATGTAGGAGATCTCATTCTTGGTCAGGTTCAAATCAGTCAGGTTGCCGAACCGGTTGAGGGAGGAGTACAGCACCACTTTGAGCTTGTTCTCGTTCAGACGCAAGTCATGCACCGTGCTGTTGATGTGCTGAGGGATGGTCTCATATGGGGGCTGATTCTGGCTGCAGATGGCCAGCCACACATACCCTTTGTCCCCCTCAATCAGCCAGCAGTCACCCCGCACGGTGCCAGGGGAAAACAAGCAGAGCAGGGCAGCTGCCCACAACCCCAGGCACAGCATGGTCTGCAGTGGTGCCCTCATCAGGATGGGGGGAAAGAAATCCCCAACAAAAACCAATTCCAAATCTCAGGAGAAGGACAAAAAGAAACTAGGGGGTAAGAACTGAGGTTTAACAATGGAAGGGAATGAGCACCCCAGTCCTATCACATGTCATTACCATTATTTCTTCTTGCCTTCTGGGTCAAGCCAGGAGCATAGAGGAGGGGGAACACATGCAATATTCTTCCAGAACACCCAAAAGCTATGACTGTGGATGTTTGGTCTGGAAGGGAACTACCTTGTGCTTCTTTTCTAAATAAAAATTCAGGCCGAGGATAATGAATCTTCTTTGATGCTCATGAGCGACTCACACACTTTTTCCCCTTTTGTTCCCTCCCACCCACCCCCCACCCATGCCAAACCCACCCCAAAACAAACCCAAGTCCTCCCTCTCTAGTCTTCCCCCGTCCCTCCACAGTGTGATTTGGAAGAACAAGGCAGGGCTGCCTCCTGTGTCGCTCACACTCCCTTGGTTTCTACTCCTTCTCTTCCTTCTTTCCTGGGTTCCCTCTGAGAAGCTTCAGGGCTTTGGATCAAACATGTCGAAAATAAAAATACAGAGAGGGAAAGAGCAAGTGTGCATGAGAGAGATCCATCTGTCACTGGAATCTAGAAAAGAAAACACAAAAGACAAGAAGAGGCATCATTTGGAAGCATCTCTGAGATAAGTGCACAACAGCAATGTTTCGTGAGAAGAGGGAGATGGGGAAGAGACATGTTAAGGGGGGTGCAAGCAAGAGAGGTGTGGTACTGCCTGCCGTGCTGATAAGCCTTTGAGGAGGGAACCCTCACAATGTATAATGTCATATCAGGGATATGCAGAAGGGTATCTGGGCTCCCTTAAGTAGTGTGATCACAGCCAGGGACCCGGGGGAAGGCAGTGGCGTGGGAGTAGAAGGGGAAGGGAAAGGAGAGTGGGAAACATAAAGCTGTTATTGCGGGGGCTCAAAACCCCTAGTGTAAACAAAGGCAAGCCCCAAGTACAGCCAAAGCCATGAATTTTCAGCTGCCTGGAAATGATGTACACAAAATGCATGAAGCAGGGAAAATGCAGACAAGCTTCTCCCCCCACCCCCCCAAAAAAGCTAAACATTTTTTCCTTTCCTTCCTTCCTTGATGCAAGAGGGATAAATAATTCAAACCACGTGTAACCACTTCTGCTCTAAAAATTGTTCCTGACTCTTGGTGCATGGACAAGGCTGTTGAGGTGAATCAATCTGGCTTGAACACAGTGGGGGGGTAGGGAGCAGGCAGTGTGTCAAATATCAGCCTCCAGTCTCTCACCCAACAATGTCAAAACTCCTAATCTGAAGAACATCATCCACCTAGCCCCATCAAAGAGTGGCGCACAGTTTACACCTTCACACTTTATTACCTCTCCTAGGGGGCTATGAACACTGCCCCTTTGTAAGAAACACACTTTGCAGACAAAGTGACATTTGCCTGTTAAACCACAACAAATGCATTTCTGAGCTCTGGGCGAGCTCCTGGTTCTGACCGTGAAGCACAACCTGGAGCACTTTTCTCTCCAGCTAGAGCTTCAACCCTTCTCCCACTGTGCTGAGACAGGAGCCTGGCAGGGGTGTCCTCAGGCAGCACAGAGGAAATAATTTCATACAGTAGATAAAACATGTGGGCACTGTGCTATCATCTTTTTTTTTTTTTTTTAATTTTGAGGAGAAACACTAAAAAAAACAGAGAAAAGGATTCTTGATTAATGAGAAATAAAGATCCCCTCTTGCCCCTTTTATTTTGGGGGGAGGCTGCTCACTAAAGATATCGCTGAAGCTTTTGCTGCAAAAGCTGAACCAATTTCCAGCACAGAGACACAAAGGGCAGAAATAAAATGAAGGAAGATAAATGAAAGAGGAGTGAACCCTTGAGGAACAAGGCTTATGTCTGTGGAGAAATCTGAGCTGATTTGGGTCTGTGGAATTACCAGGCCAGCTGGATTAAGGGATCAGAGATAGTGTCACAGAGAAATACTTAAATATTCAATAATCCAACAAGTAAAGCCAAGACAGAGAAGGGAAGGGTGAGAAGAGCTACACCCATGGAAAAGACAGAGAAAAAACCTCCATTCCCCAGAGCTCATTGTCTGAGGCCACCAAACTCATGTCACTTATGATTGTCATATGATGGCTTCAGCTGCTGCCCCAGCTTTACCTCAGCCAGCAATGAAGCAGAAGGCAGAGGTTTTTACAGTCTGTTGATTTGTTTCTCAGCCTTGTAATCCAATGAGAAATAATTTCCTGACACTATTCCCCCAGATGCCTCAGCTAGGAGGCACATCTGGCTCTCCACAGGTTGGCACCCACAGGCCTCTGATATTTCTCAGCACCAGTCCTCTGCCTTGTTCCACCTTTTCCAGACTGTGACTCCATGCAGAGATACAGCCAATTCCCCACACCATCTCCATCCCTTTACCTTCCTCTCTAATGTTCCTTCACTTCACCTGATTTCTTCCACTGAACAAAGGGGTGGCAGACACTATCATGCTTTTTGCACTTTGGTGCCCAAATATGCCCACCCCAGGCAGAGGCCAGGGACACACCTGAGAAAGCAGTGGAAAGATTTAGGGATTAGACACCATCCTTCTCTGAGCATTATGTTCTGGCCTGCCTGTCTCACCTCACTAATTACTCTGCACAATATCCAGCTCCATACAGGAACATCCCAGCCCACTTGCTTTGACCCCTTCTGGTAGGGCAGACTGCTCCAAAAGGTGTGCTGAAGTCACCATTGCCTGCTGTAGCGTGTTCATGGTACACATGCACAGAAAGAAACTCTGAGGCCAGGACCATATTCCTCTGCAGCAACCCCAGCAATCCCTGAGAGCCACCCCATCCCACTCAGGGAGCTGCACTCAGGCAGGACAGAGAGGGTTTGGAAGGGCAGATGTCATAGTAGCCTGGAAGGGAAAGAGGTGGGTTAGGGATAGATAAAAATAAAGGTGGTGTTTATCATTGCTATTTGCCAAAACCAAGGGGACCATGCAGAAATTCCTGCTTCCTACCTACGTCCCACCTGGGCTGTGTAGCCTTGCCTCAGCCACAGGACACAGGAAGGATCAAGCCACTCCTCACGCCAAACTCATTGGTCCCCTTAGGTCCCCAAGGTAACCTTGGATGAGAAATACACAGACCTTGACATTCTTCCCCCAGTGGTTCCTGTCTCCCCACCATCATGCTAGTTTTAAGAGTGTTGAATCCAGACCAATCCATGGTGTACTGCATCCCTGCCCATGACCCAGCACCCCATTTCAGCTCAGCCCAGCACCATTAGACCCTGCTACAGCAATGCTGTAGGAGTGGTGGTCTCCAACCCTACCACAGCCACGCCCTGCCCTCTAGGGAACAGCTGCTCCCTGACCACGGCAATACATAGTCAAAGGGAGGGCAGGAGTAAGGGGCAGCACTATGCCCTCCTTTAACTGTCTGCAGCCAAAAGAACATAAATCACACAGCACTGGGGTCCAGAAGCACAAGGAAACAACACTCTGTCCTTTTTACTGGCCTGAAAGGTGCTGACAATGGAGTTGGCTGTTTCACTCTCTTGCTTCTAAGGCAACAGAGCAAGAAGGCACAGGACAGGGAAAGCAAGAATGAATAAGTCCAGCACAGCAGAGAGCCAAGGAAGGGGGATGCAAGAGTTGCAGAGAACTTATGGGCAAGAGAAAGAGTTGGGACACAGGGTATGTTTTATAGGGAAGGTACAAGATAACCATCTCCATGTGCTAGGCTGATTTAGTTGTAGGTTTCCAATACTCTTCAGTGTCACTCAAGATTTACAACAAGCCCTTGGCTCCTGGCCATCCTCATGTACGTGTGAACATGAAGGAACTACTAGTAGTGACATTGTACCTGTGAAAGCTGTGCTCTCCTTGGCTGGCACAAAGTCAGCCTATCAGCTCCCAAGTGATTTCCCTCTGCTTCACTCTCTACTAATGGATGCCCCAATGTTACTGACATTTATCTGCAGCATTTTGGAGAAGAGCAGAAGGCCACAGGGATGGTTCAGAGGAAAGGAAAGAGAAGGGAAAGTGAAACAGAGGGCAGAGAGTCCTAAATCTGAGTCAGGAAGTGTCAATGGCCACAAACATCCCTTTGACTTGGAGCTCAAGGTAGCACAGGGAATGACACAGGACTGAGGTCACTAGTGAGATGACAGTATAAAATACAGCCAATGAAAGTATGAACAGGCAAGATAGGAGGCACAGAGGCAAACTGGGGCCTGAAGAACTGGAAGGACCAAAACTGAGAGAAAATACAAGGCAACCAGAAAAGTCACATACAGCTGCAATTTGGGCCTAAAATTCTGACCTTGTCAACCTTGTCCTCTTGGGGCCCCATGCACTGGAAAAACCAGCACTTAATTCTACCATTGCTTAAACGGTGCTAAGAGCCTCCCATTTGAAATGCATGCATTAAAAAACTGCCAAACACTCTTGACTCCTCTGGGGACACCCCGAAACCAGGCCAAAGCTCCTGCTGCTTTCTTAAGCTTCATGCTGCAGCTGAGCATCATCCCTCTTGCCAGCTCAGTGTGCTGCCTGCTCCTGGCAGGCCTCAGGGCACAAACACTATCTCCAAGGGACTCTGCCTCCTCTTCTTGGCTTTAAGGTCCTTCCAGGATTTCTCTACCTACTTTCTGAAAGAGGAGTCTTTCCCAGAGGTGCTTGGCACTCAAAATTCATGCCTTACTTGAAGGGAATCTCCCATTCTGCTGGGTAGTTTATGTAATTCACAGTGGTTTGAGCATCACTGCAGCTACCCCAAATCACCACCCAGAGACTGTCCTTCCTTTTGCACCTGGCTCTAGTGGAAGCACAGTGCCATGGGAGAAGCTTGAAACACAGCTGTGGCACTTACAGGACAGCAGTCTCTCCCTCTCTGACCTGTTTCTAGGGAATTATTGCAGGAGTTACCTTCAAGTCATGCAGCAAAGAACCTGTGGCTGTGCCCACAGGTGCTCCAGAAGCTCTGACAAGTCTGGGACCAAGAGAAGAGGAAGCAGGAATCCTGATAGCCAGTAGTTTTGTGGCATGGAAGACATTTGAGCATATACGAGAGAGAGAGAGAGAGAATGCCTTCTACTGTAGATTCTCTGATGTTAACCAAGGATTGAGCTCCACAACACTCTTTGCTTTAATGGGTCTCAATGAAGGTTAATTCTCACATTCTCTCTACTCTAATTTCCCCCTATTTTCATGGAACACATTGTAGGAATTTTTAAAATTAGAAGGTTTTATGAAAGTTATAAAAACTGAGTTATCTCTCAGTTCCATCCCAATGTTCCATTTGTTTGAAATCAGCCCTATAGTTTCAAAACTCCAGAGCTCAAAGGAGCTGTACAGCCACAGTAGAAAGTCAAGTAACAAAAGGTGTTCCCATGTCACTGACTAGACAAAGCCTTTATCCCTTACAGGAGTTGAACTGAATTCAATGAGTCCTGCTGAAGGTTGTCCACTCAACCTTAGAGGCTCTGTGAATTTGGCAGAGTGTTGTTGCAAGAGAAATCTCATGCTTCAGCTCTGGGAAGGTTCATTTCACTCTAAACAAATCCACAGTCCTTGTGGGTAGAAAACTCATTTCTCTGAAAGCTCCCAA